TTTAGCAAATGGCTGCAATATAACAAAGAGTGAAAAATTGAAGGGGGTCTGAATACTTTCCGTACCCACTGTATATATATATATATATACACACACACACTTACTTTTACTTTTCTTTTTTTTTTACTAGGACTCGTAAGTACTAAAGTAATTTTGTTGTACTTTATAATGTTTGTTTTTATGTGTAAAACTATAGATTTGAGCTTTAGTATGAACAATGTTTAAAAAACAATGTGCAAAACCGTTTGTTTACCAGTCATAACATTAAAATAATTCTCAATATTAGCCAACATATAGTGCATCTTTAATCGTGGTGCATGTATGCGAGTGATGCAGCAGTGAGACACCAGAGAGCGATAAATGAGATGAGTGCTTTCCTCCTGCTTTTAAATCACTGTGAGACAGCAGGAGATGCGTCTCCTCCCCCATCGGTCCACACACAAACACACCCACACACACACACACGTGGCACATGGTGGGGTTGCGTCGAGTCGCCCTGTGAAGAATCCAGGGCAAACGATCCTCCAGAGAGCAGCAGACATTATTCATGAGGCCGTGTGTTTGTGCACTTAATTGATTCCATATTCAAGCACGCGACCCGGTTTGCTGCAGTATGTAGCGCTGAATTATTGATACGGTTCACGAATGTGAGGCAACTCAGACGAGGAGAATGAGAAACGCAGATGTGAGAATGAAATGAGACAGATCCAGTGCTGTGAACTGCTGTTTGTTTGTCTCGTGTTGGACTGAATCATTTCAGACAGCTGGTGAAGTGTGTGTTTTGAAAAAGGTAAAGCTCGGAGTGTGTTAAACTCAAGTCTTGCATTATAGGAACAGCCTGTTGAGGAGGATTTGAGAAATCTGATGTTGCCTCTTTCTGTGTTTTTGCTTTGTTAGTGATCGATTATTGCAAAAGTAGTGAGACTCTGCTGGTTGTGGAGAAGAGCCGTTGTTTAACATGACAAGAAACTCACATGAAGTGATTCAAACCTTTGAGTGGGGACTAGGGCTGCACGATTAATCGAATGTGATTGTCATGCGCATTTTGATAGTAATGCCGGTTCTGTAATAAGCAGGAAATCATCATCACGTGCTTTCAGATGGAGCAGAATTTACTACACATAGCCGTAGTTCACTGACAAGTTACGCAAAAAAATCGCAGACGATTTTATTGCGCGATTATGAAATCGAAGAAATCGTTCGCGATAATGACAGCTGTTTGCATAGCTTCTCAGTGAACTACGGCTCTGTGTAGTAAATGCTGCTCCATCTGAAAGCATGTGAAAATACCACATTTAATAACATTTTTACTCCAAACTCACTGCATAACGTCAGTCGAGTGTTTGAAATAAATCCTTCTGTGAGATGATGTGGCTTCTTACACAGAATAAGGCATGCAACATATTTCATAGTATTTAAGCAGTGATAAAGGCATTGCATTATAAATATACTTTATTTTAATGAAAATTATAATAATAAGAACTCCGATAAACTGTATATTGCCGTAGTCGTGTGTTTATTAGTCACGTTGAATCAATGAAAGCAGTTGAATCTTCTGTTTATTCAGCTGCAGCAATAGGCATTTTCTGGGTTTCTTCTGGGAGGCGTATTTGGAGTTTCAGCGCGAGAGCGCCCTTTGGCCTTTGGATTGAGATTTACTGCTGATCACAGAAACGTGCTTCACTGAAAGATACGCATGACAATCGCAGCTTCTGTCGAATCGCGATCTCGTTTCCATTTCGATTTATCGTGCAGCCCTAGTGGGGACCACATCAGCCGGCATTACTAAGGCCATGATTAAAATATAATATAATGAAATAATAAAAAGGTTGTTTGTTTGTTTATTGCAGGTGTAGATGAATACATTTTTTATTCATATAATTATTTATTTATGTATTTATTTATGTATTTATATTTATTACATCAACATATGTAAATAAATTAGATTATTTTAATCAATATTTATTTATGAATATTTATCATTGCATCACCTGCACACCAATGGATCCTCTGCAGTAAATGCGTGCTGTCAGAATGAGAGTCCAAACAGCTGATAAAAACATCACAATAATCCACAAGTAATCCACACCCCTCCAGTCCATCAGTTAATGTCTTGTGAAGTGAAAAGCTGCGTGTTTGTAAGAAACAAAAAGTCATCTGGTCTGAATCAGGAGAGAAATCTGCACAGATCAAGCACCGTTTACAAGCCAAAACAGCTCTAAACAAATATGTTGGTGGATTTTGATGTGAGAGACAACAGGAGATGGACTTTTTGACTGGAGGAAGCGTTATTATGGACTTGTATTTTAGCCAGAAGCAGTGGTTTGAAGTTAAAAACGTCTTAATGATTGATTTGTTTCTTACAAACACGCAGCTTTTCACTTCACAAGACACTGAAGAGAATAGTCTCTGAGTCTCTGTAGAGACTCACGTCGCTCGAATGCTCATGTCTCTGGAGGACATTATTGACCCCGTGACCCATGAGAGTCCTTCACGCCCAATGACTGTCATCTGGAGATGATGAGAGTATTCATATACTGTCTAAAGAGAAAGAAAGAACAGGAAGGATTTGATTAAATAGTTTTGTCTGCCACTTATAAGGCACTTGGCAATTATTTCATGTTTTTCTTGATCTTTTGAAGTAAGTGTATCTTTCAGCAGAACAGCTAATCATGAGAGTAAAACATGGTAAAACTCATTTTAGCACTGATTGACTCATATCATGTTTTACATACGTGTGCGTCTTAAAGGTACAGTAGCACAAACAGACGGTTTAATTCTAAGGATCGTAAGAATTGTGGAAATGATCATGAAAAGTAAAGTATGCATGAAAAAAGTTCAGTTGTGAGAA